ACACATTAAAGGCCCCTAATCCGTGAGCATCCTACTCAGACCTAATGACCCATGTCCTCTAGTTGAGCCTTGCGACCCATCTTCTCCAGTCGAGTTCTTTGAACTCTGGTTACCAGACGTAGCTTGATTAATGCCATTAGATGTCTGGAGTGCTTGTGGTTTTTGGTTTGTGCTTATGAACGACATGTGAGTTCGAGAGAAGAAGACGAAGGAGAAGAAAAAGAAGGAGTCGAGACGTGTGCTTTGATAAAATGTAATATTCTCTGAATAATCTGATACTTATTCGATCTGAAATGAAGGTACATATAGAAGAAAGTTGCCCAAAAGAATCCCTAAAATCCCTACAGATTTTCTGAGAATAGAACTAATGAATGGGTAGATAACAATACGTAAGTAGAAAAGGAAAAAAGACATTGGAAGAGAATGATGAAATAAAAATTAGGTTAAGTAAGATAATAAGCCCAAGCCCAATGTTGAACGTGAGCCCATATCCAACACTCACTATTCCCTTTTTATCATCTTATTTTGCGACCTTCAATTAATGCGTTGATCTATTTTTGTGTGTTAGTCATTTAAGTGTGGAGACGAGAAATTTAGAGAGCTCTAGCATGAGCAATTATATCTTTTGATTTTAGCTTTCTTATTTCTCAAGAGGATGCCTTTAGTTCCTGTTTACATAATATATAGTTGATAAGCAAATCAATTAAATGAGCAAGGTCATAACACAGCAAATCTTTAAGCTAAGTGATAATCAAAGCAAATCTTAATTGTAGCATTACCACTTAACTTGTAGCATTACTATAATGTGTGCGATGCATTTTATAGAACCTATCTTTTCTAATTTGGAATATGCGACCCACTTAAGAGTTCATATTGATGATCACAAGCACACACAACTTAATGACATCATTTCCAAATGCAGGCTCTTAAGGAGATTGATGCCCAATTAACTCTTGTCTTCTAGATGTCCCTCACGTTCAGCATGTGAATTGTTACGATGCACACATTAGTTAGGCTCCCTCTATGTTTTCTTCAATAACTTTGTACGACATATTTTACTCTTCTAATGGTTTCTGGAGGTTACTGCTGGCCATCTATATGTCTGTACGATATTCGGCAATTCAATGTGCCAAAAATCTATTCATCATAATTTGCACCTTTTTGTCTAATCTGTGTGGCAGAATGGGTAGACACCATTTTCTTCTATTTAAAAAAAAAAAATATTTGCTGGATTGTTTCTGTATCAGTTTGCAGCTGGGTAGCAGAGTTACGGCTGCTTGTATTTCAGCTACATGTGTATCTTTAGAGTAGTTTGTAGGTAAGGGCTTCTATTCTTGTATCAGGGTTGCATGTGTTGTTATAAGGTCACCGTTGGGGTATGAGTTTCGTATAAGGTAGTCTTGCACTTGTCAATGTGAACTGTGCGAGCCTGCTGCTTCATGTGGGTGAGTTTGCCTAGATTTGCGGCTTGTCCTCTATATTTGCTCTTTCAAATGATTAATTTATCTTCAGCTGATTTGTACTTTAATATATAAAAAAATATGGTTAGTTTTTACCGTTCCTACCTAGAGCCAGGAAAACGGGACGAGCCCGTCGGGCTAGCCCGTTTAAACCCGTATAAGAGTTGGGCCGGATTTGAAAATAGGATTCAAAATGATAAATCGGGCTTAAACGGGTTCCATTTAATTTAGGGCTTAAAAGGGCCGGCCCTGCAGGGTCGAGGGTCAGCCCGTTTAAGCTCGCATATACATTTTTTTTAATTAATTCTCATAATTTTTACTCTTTTTAGATTTGAAAAAAAATAAACTAAATCTTACTTCACATCACATATTAGCCCATATTTACTGAGGATGGAAGGCAAAAAAAAAAGAAGGAAAAATAGCAATGAAGAATCACTGATAAAAAATTATATCAGTCAATGATCACTTGTTAAAATTTGAGTAGATACTTGTGGATTCGAGTTACGAGTTAGCCTATCAATCATTTAGGTTTTAATAACAACTTATTTTAAATTAACAATAGTTCATTGTAGCTTGTTTTTCATTCAGGTTTTGACAACAATTGATTCTTAATTAATATAAATTTCATACAGAAATCCTTGGCTACTATTTTCTAAAAAAATACAACCTTAAATCCCCTAATTCATCTAGATCCATGATAATGATTCATTCAGTTTAACATTTACTCTTCTAATTTTGATTGGGTGTTTGTCGGCTTAGCTGATCTATTGCTTATTGCATTACCATCATTTTATTTGTGTTTTTAGTTCATTTAGATGTTATTTAGTTAGTTTTTTTTGTACCTTTCTTGATTAAGTATTATATTAGAATGAAATAATTTTTTATTTGATTAAAAAATTAAAAAAAATAGTTAAAAGGGCCTAAAGCCTGCAGGGCCGGCCCTGAGCCCGCTATGTCAAGGGCCGGGCTTCAAATATCAGGGTTCTAAAGGAAACTCGGACTTAAAAGGGCTAGCCCTTTTAGGCCCGAGCCCTTCAAGGGGCCGGCCCGACCTTATAGGGCCGGCCCTTTTTACCAGCTCTATTCCTACCCATCTTTCTACTTTAATATAATAGCATGTGAATTGCATGTTATTTAATAATTTTTTAAAATAATTACCATTAATTATTACTAGCTTCAAGTCACCTCCATTCCCACGAAACACACGATTCATTGATAGGCAACTTCCCCGTGCGATATCTAGTTCCTAAAGCTATAGGCAACCGCTTCCCTTCATGTAAGTTTGAAATTGGAATACACATTTATAAAATATTTTGATACCCATTTCAGTTGCAGGTTGTGAAAGGTGGGCACTAAATTATCAAAAATCAATTTCAAATAAAATTATAGAATCAGTATCTCAAAAGTTGTATGTACATATATTCTTTTAATCTTATTTATAAGATAAAGAAAGAATATTTGTTTTAGCCTATTATTTATAGAGCACCTTCATGATTTTTGTATTACTTTTTATTCTTTTACCTTATTAAATGTTGAGAATGTTATTAAATGTTAAAGTAGTTTATTTTTAAATTATATATATTTAATAGAAGAAAAGTTAAAAAATTGTTGAATTTTTAAATAGAGTTAATAAAATTTAAAATTTTTTTAAATTCTGATAAAACATGCTAAAACTGATATAAAACATTGCATCCCTATCCCAACTCTCTTCTCCTATCTCACAACATCATAGAAATTATGTCCAGCACAACCTATATAGTTAGCATTTTCTTAACCTCTTCAAAAGCATTAAATATTAATCCGTATTTTAAAAAAAATTATAAAAATTAAAAATATTTTAAACTTTTAATATTTATAATATTACAAAGATTAAGAGTTTAATAATAAATGTTAAAAGTAAAAATATTATAATTTTAATCTCTTAATCATAGTTGTCAAACTCTTAAGTTAACTCTACGAGTTTAACGTTTTTATATTTTTAACTTACAAAACCGTGTCAACTCATTTATAAACTCAAATTAAATACAAACTCAGTTAAACTCATTAGTTTACTTTCAAGTTTACTGATTTTACGTTTTTAATTTACAAAATTGTGTTAACAAATTTATAAACTCAGATTAAATACAAACTTAGTTAAACTTATTAAGCTCATTATTTTTTTTGAGTTGAGCGAGTTAAGTATATACTATGAAGAATTCAGTTCATAAAAGTTATAAAACCTTATTCAAAGGAAAAAAAAAAAAAACCTTGATATGCAAAAACTAATATTAATAAAAAAAGAAAACAAAAATACTAAAAATAAGTTCCCCTAAAATTTCAATGTCTTGTATATGATAATTTAGCAATTTAGATGAGTTTAATTTCAATGATATATATTTTTAATATATTGAAATTACAATTATATTTTAATGATTAGGCAAACTCTTACGAGTTTACAATTCGAGTTTGCGATACGAGGTTACATTCCTGACACGAGTTTACTTAAACTCGTGAGTTTAACAACCTTGCTCTTAATCTTTAAATATTATAAGTTCATAATATTTTTAATTTTTTAAAATATAAAAACTAATATTTAAGTTATTAAAACTATAGGGACTTAATTATAGAATGAAAAGTTTAAAGACTGAATTACAATCAAGTTAAAATTATAATAACTAAATTATGAGTCAAAGTTCAAAAATTAAATTATAATTGAGTCAAAACTACAAAGATCAAATAATTAATTTTCTCCATAATAATTTTACCAAGAGCAAGATTATATTTTTGGCAATTCTCCACCAATTCCCTTTCCACAAAATCCACAATAAAGAACTTATCATTCTCTTGTGTGGCTATAATAATAAACCACAATTGAGATCAAGATAAAAAGATTAATTGAAGGATTAACCCACATATAAGATTAGATTGTATGCTCTCACAGTTGCTTACATTTTCAATTTACTTCTCAAACAAATTTTTTGTAATCAAGTTTAAACATTTAAAATCCTTACTTTATTATAGACTTCGATGAGAAAATATGCTTGGGATGAACCCTCTATCCCATACCATATTGCAGATCCTTAGAGTCTTTTCAATTTTAAATTAAGTTCTTCTAGTTTATTTTGTTTTAATCAAGCCTTGTAGTTTATTTTTAATTCCTTGAAGATTAAAATCCTTGAATTTTTTCTTTAAGAAAATAAAAATTAAGTACTTTCATATTTTTATTAAAAGTTTATATAACTTCATAATTAATTACATAATTTTTATAACTCAATCTATACAATTCGGTTGCCTTCTAAATAATTTTTGTACATATAAAATTTTCATAAAAAATTAATAAAAACGTAAACATCGTATTAATTCAAAATTTTTTTGGGCAAAAGCATTAAATCAAATTTTCAATAAACTCCAAATGTTAATCATTCATTATTGATTTTAACCTTCAAGGATTAACATATTTCATTGATCAAACTATAAGGGCTTGATTATCAAAAAAATAAACCATTGGAACCTAATTAAAATTGAGGAAAACTAAAAGGATCTGCAGAATAATTTTCCCCATTATTTTTAGAATTCCACCATAAAGATATTATGCTTAGAATGAATGTTAAGAGGTGATACATGACAAATTTTGCAAATAATGAAGCAATTTTTTCTACAAAGATAAGAACTGACCGACGTGCATCAAATAATTGATTTTTGAGAGATGATCCGCAGAATCTGGTCAAATAAGTTGCCATTAGTAACAAGGACACCACCTGAAGGGAATATAATCCTGCGACCAATTTGGTCTGCGGACAGATCTATTTCTCTACCTTCCCAGTCCGTTACCTAATCATTATGGAGCCTTCCACATCAGGAACAAAAACTAGAAAACACTTGTGAAAAGAACAAGGTTCAAAAAGGGAAAAAATGGTAATTAAAGAATCAAGTTAATGATGAGAACCATATGCAAGTATTTAGTAGTTGGTTCTTCAATACAAGTAATTAAATTTTTAAACAGTTCAGTGTTATGATGACACATCATTTTATAATAAAACCTCTCTTTACGTGATATGTCCTCCAAAGAACTTCAGTGGGGGGAGAAAAAAATACACTACAAAACAACCTAGAAAGACATGATGAGGGCAATACAGAATTAGTTTATTTTTTAAAGTAGAAATTCCCATTTTCAGTCACACAAAGACAGATATCTTGGGAACAATCAACCAAAAAACACCACATTGTTAAATTTACACTGTATTGCCAGTGGGTCACACAGAGATAATATAAAATAGTGATATTAGCCATTAGGCATACATAGCAAAGACATACGGTATGCTGCCCCTCCTATACATATTATTTCCATTGACAATCGATGAATAGGGAAATGGCCAAGATCCTGTACCTTGGGAACTCCTATCAACTATTGAAGAATTATACATATTTTTTAAATTTGAGTTGTGACAATCCTTGATCCTTTAGCATATGGATTATGTTTTGAGGGAGGACGGAGGAGCAATGTTTTATGAGATAAGTTGACATTAATGATTCATTGGAAGTTGTCAGGCTGTATCAGTTAGAAATGTCTGTTAGCTTCGTTAAGCAATAACATCCGTTTCAATATAGACAAATTCTAATGGGTGTGAATGAACTTAATAGAATTGTTTTATTTTATTTTTACCAATTGCTATCAGAGAAATGTTCAAAGAGCCTTGATATTCATGATGGCTTGGGTAAACTGAAACAAGTGATGAGTCTCTTTTTATGAGACGCCATCAATCTGCAGAATCTATGTCAAATGTATATATTTTAAAACTCTGTCTATAGCAGCTCAAGAGAAAGATTCTGTCTATGGGAAAATCAGAAAGAAGAAAAACAAATAAGCTTTAAAGACAACCAAGAGATAGGAGTCTTTCAATTGTGGCAATGAAGAAGACAGCGATGAAAAGGAAGTTGATGATGATGAACATAACCAAGAGAAGCAAAAGTGTAGAAGGGTAGTGAAGAAGAAATTTACAAGGAAATAGAGGAGGATGAAGATGACAATGAATAGGAACTTCCAATCTGAGCCAAAGATGTGATAGGAAGATCTTTTTTTTTTTTTGGTTTCCCCTCAAAACAAATAATACAAACAAAATACAAAAACAAAAGAAAACAAAGGAAAGCAAAGATAGGGAGCTTAGCCCTTGCAACAACTTGATATCAAGAATGTGTTCCTGAATGGGGAGCTCACAGAAGTATACATAACACTATCCAGGTTTTGATAAACGCAGGAGTACTCAAGTTTGCAAGTTGAAGAAGTCATTGTATGGCCTGAAACAGTCTCTGAGAGTGTGATTTGATGGATTCTCAAAAGTTTTGACATTAGAAGGATACAAGCAGGGATTGTTTGATCACACAATGTTAAATCTAAGGAAGCTAAAAGATGCTTTCTCATTGTCTACATTGAGGATATAATACTCACAAGTGAATAGAGATCATGTTGAGGAAATGAACAAGACAAAATCTCTTCTAGGGAAAGAGTTTGAACTCAAGGCATTGAAATATTTTCAGGGTGGAAATTGCAAAATCAAAGAAGGAAGTATATAGTAGACCTCCCAAAGGAAACAGATTTATTGGGGTGTAGGCCTACTGAAACTCCTATTGTTGTCAAGAAAAGCAAGAAGTTTAAAAAGAGCACAAGGATGGTGAAGAGTCTGGAGGAAGATGACATGGAAGAGGAAAGCGAAGGTGAAGAAGAAGAAAAGGATGAAGCAGCAGACAGAGAGATACCAAAAACTTGTGGAGTTGTGGTAAAACTGATTTATCTCTCCCACCCAAGACTCGACATAGCATTTGCAGTAAGGGTGGCAACTTGCCCAATGAAGAAACGCATTGAAGCAGTGTACATGATCCCATGATATTCGAATGGTACACTTGGAAGAGGGCTTCTCTTCAAGAGGCAATAATCAAGATCCATAAAGATTCCCACTAATGCAAACTGGGGAGGAACTCAGAGGTCAACATAAGGTTACCCTTTTTTTTTTTTGGGTATACAAGGAGGCACCTCAAGTTACTGTTTGTTTGTATGAGGAAACTTGATTGCTTGGAAAAGCCAAAAATAGAGGGTTGTATCCAAGAGTAGTGCTGAATCAGAATTGAGAGCACTAGCTCAGGGCATTATGAAAGAACTATGGTTAAAGTGATTAATGGATGAAATACAGGTTAGAGTGGACCTGCCATTGAAACCGTATTGTGAAAACAAAGCTGCCATAAGCATGGTGTCAAATCCTATTCAATATGAAAGGTTGAAACATGTGAAGGTGTACAGATATTTTATTAGAGAAAAAGAGGAAGGGATCATATGTTTAACATATATTCCTATGTTTAACATTTTATTTTGTTCTTTTCATCGAAGTGTTTTACTATCATTCAGCTGCAAATTGCATTTGACATTTAAAGGATTTTAATCACAACTAGCAAATGGCAGGTGCTGAGCAAAGATCCAAAGTTCTACAGAATATAGATACCTTGTTAAGAACAGACCTATTCACTTTAAGTTTAATTCTTTGCTATTATGTTCAAGAGTTTACCACAGTTCTGTTGTTAGTGACAAGATTAAACCAATGAACTGACCACACATCAGACTACAGACATATCTGAAAACCAATGTTCACAGGATATGTAGACTTAAAAGTGGATAAAAGCATACCTTTCCTCCAGCTTCATGAACACATATCATGCCAACAGCATGATCCCAAGCCTGCAAAATATCAAACAAATCAAACCCTAATGCAGAGAATTATCTATCTGGGAGTAACAAAAAAAAAAAAAAACCAGAACAGTGTACTTTTATTATAGTCTTCTCTTTTGCACGGAGAATGAAAACTGATGCCCTGCTAAAGGCCACCATCAAATACTTGCATAAACTGCATTGATTCAAAAGAAATGAGCAAATGAAAGGGACGGGAAAAGAAACAGGATTATAAATTATGGAACTAAGACTTAGAAAGAAACAAAATGCACAAACAACTAAAATTTCCACAAATATTTTTGACTGATTACAAGAATTAGCCCATTCAGGTGATTCTATAGAGCCAATGAATGGTTTATCTCAACAGCATCCCGTTCAAGCCATTTTCTCTGTCACTTCTTATAGCACTTATTCTGTTGGTTCAAGCATCAATGGAAGGAAAAGGCCCCAGATAATTATTACAATATACTCAAAGGAAAAAAAAACAAAAAAACAGCGCTTGCATTTACTGCATTAGCAACACACTAGTGGCTCAAATCTAGTTACCTTATTGGTTCTGTTCCCCCCCCCCCCCAAAAAAAAAAGAGAAGTTTTAGCAGATAAGAGAGTTATTCCAATTTCCAACATTATTGGAAGGTCCCCAATTGGTTGCGGGTTCAATCCTGGTTGTAATCTCAGGCCATTACTACCTGCCCCTTTAATTCAAAAAAAAAAAAAACATTATTTTGCAATTACTTATCTCAAAGTGATATGCCAATTTCTCAGTTTTCAAATAACCCAAAATATTAGGAAACTAGCATTCTCAGTGTCACAAGAATTTGTTAAAATATAAAGATGTAAAAAGAGAAACTAGTCCAATATGTTAACATGGAGAGAGGCAGCAAATTAGGGAACCAACACTCCACCCCTAAAACTTTTAACATGGCATTGATGCTTTGACATTATCACATTGTCTCAAATAAATACAAACATGTCTTTTACAAGCAAAGTATTTACTCAAATACTCAAGGTAAAATAATAATTAAGGACTCCATAAGAACATTAATGACAATTACAGACCCTGAATTATTGAAATACTAATAACAAACCATAGTCCCTACTTGCAATTAAAAAAATAAAGCATATAGTCAGTTGGAAAATATACTAAATACATTTGAGATCATTTGGAATAATAATTGAGAATTTATGAGAGTCAGCTGTAAATCTTGATTTGTTGCTGTCAATATACAAATAACCCACTTGGGAAATCAAGTAAATACATTTGGAATTATTTGTAACGTTAGTTGGAAACGTACGAGAGTCAATTGTGAATCAAAAGCCAATTACTTACGATTTTTTTGCTATCAATATATAGATAAATCTCTTAAAAAATCTATTAAATATATTTGAGATTATTTGTAATGTCAGTTGGGAATTTAAGAGAGTCAGTTGTGAATTACAAGCCAATCACTTGTAATTTTTTATATCGCTTGAGAAATCAAAAACAGATAATTGGGAATCTTTGTAGCATTAGTTGGGAATTTACTAAAGTCCGTTGTAAATCTCAAGACAATTAACAAAATATAATTTATTGCAAATAAGGACCATAGTCTGTTATTGAAATTTCAATAATTCAAGGTCATTAGTGTTCTTATAGGGTCCCTAATTTCATTTTCCCAATACCCAGACACACATAAGGAAGGGATTATGACATTATGGGAAACTGTGATGAAACATAACATGTTTGGTTTGGGCTTTTCACATCCAAAATGTCCTTTTGGCATACAAACTTTTGCCAAATGTTGTTTGGTCATTTATTATGTTGATCTGAAAGTCTTTTTGAGGAACACCCCAACCCCATCTGAATGCCCATTCTCAAAACGCAGGGGTGGGTAGCTTTTTGCTTTTGAAACGTGAGTTAAAATTTTTAAATACCAATTTCCCATGTTGCCCCTTGCTGAACATGACATTCATCCTTCCTCCATTGAATAATACACGAGCTCTTCCATCAGATTGTATCTAATAAAAATCGTTTTTTGACCACTCATATATATAATAAACTATTTCATTTATAACTTTTCATCATATATGAATTTTCTTACACTTCAAATTTTATATCATCTATACATTTTTTATTATATATTTTATTCAACTTATAAAATTTTATATTATTCATACATTATGCACTACATCAAATTTTATATTATTTACATATTTGTCTGGAAAATCAAGTTTTACATAATAAAAATTATATATCAAAAAATTCATGCCCTTATTAGTAATTATATGTTTAAAAGTATTTTTCATAATATATCATCCAGACAACTTCCAATTTACTAAACTAACTCTTAGAAAAGTATATCCAAACATACATTCCATTACTATAACTAACTTCTATTAAACTTCAATTTAGCAAATGGTCTTATGACAAAGTGAAAATCAAACACGCAATATATTTCAAACTAGTAATTCAACATTCATAGTTAAGAGATAGATGATCACATCAGCTAGACATACAATCAATATGTTCATAAAGCTGGCATAATAAAGATTACTTAAACATCAAGAAAATCTCATAAAAACATCAAAGTGTGCTCTCAAATGATTATATGATAAAGGACTGCTAGCATATAAACATGCTCCCCTGTATGAGTAATGGCTCTTAAAAAAATAAACAATTCACAGACTGCATCATAAATAACATAGAAAACAAGGGAAACCATCAGAAAGGAAAAGTATTGCAAAGTCAAACAGAAATAATCAGACAGCTATTTCACAACCCCATCCATGTATGTCACGTTAGCAAGCTTTTGATTGGAAAAATGAATGTCAGATATATACAATAAAACATCTCACCTTCCACAACATGTCTGCAAAAGGAGAATTTTATTGTCCCCCACACTTTCACAATCACTTGTTGCATTAAATGTAGTAGATAGTGGAAGTGATTCCCATGTTTGACTATCTGGAATGCAAAAGCGTGCTTTTTGAACTAAACCAGAACTATCAACAAAGCATCTGGTCCAAGTGCTATTCAGCACATTTGAGAACCTTTTTGCCCATGTTCCACATCCTATATGAGCAATCATTATAACCCCTGCTTCAGATGGAACATCAAGGAGTTCCTCAAAATCTGCAGTGGGTTTCTCTGATAAATCTTCTTGCCAGTTGGGGCAGCCCATTACACCGAGTACAATCTCTCCTTCAACCACAAGTGCCAAGCCAACCTGCAAGTGTTAGGAATCCCTTAGACAAAAAGATGAAAAGAGCATTGACGCAGTTTAAAAAGCAATCATATTATGATGAGCTACAGAGATTATTCCATTTTACAGAAAGCAACCATTCCTCATTGTTAGATATAAAGCAATGTTCACCTTCTTAACTATTTCTAAAAGAAAAAAAGCATAACCACTGTCACAGACAAAGAATTACTGGACAACAAGAAGCTCTCCTGAATGAACCTCTCACCCAGCACTAGTCTAAGTTAAACACAATCAGATGAAAATAATTTCAAATGATATTTCTAGAAACTTGAATCCACCTTCATTGAGACTTACCACATATAAGGCTTTGCTAGATTTTAAGAAACCCCGTGTGCCATCAATTGGATCAAGCACCTATATTTATTCATAGGACTTATTAAGTTCAAAAGTAAATGAAACAAAGAGAGAAAATAATCACATGTTCCCAATGCAAAATAGTAAATAGATAAAGATCTCGAGGCCTAGCAGAATTAAAAGTGTAATTGATAAGATAATCGGAAAAACACAAATAATTTGTGCATCACTAACTACATAATAGAGCATTGTGAATGGCCATCCTATATAGCATAGAAATATTAATCGTGAAATCAAATCCTGAAATGATATGGATGAGGTTAGAACATAGTTCAATTGCTTAGATGTGCCCACCCAATATGTGGCAGGCTTTGATCCGAATTCAAAAGCATTCTTTCCTCCTCTATCAATTGCTTCAAGCACATCGGCTTGTGTCCATGGTTCAGTAGTAGGGCTTGCTTTAGCGGTTACTGCATTTACTACAGTATCAACTAATATATCTCTTGAACGCAGAAAAGCAGAGTCCTCCTCAGCCACCAGTGGAATAGAAGGGAACAGCTTACCTAACTCTGTAATAACAATTGAACTACACAACATATATAAAGAAAAATTCATCCCCAGAAAAATGCAAATCAATTTCTGATCATTTTGAAGCAAAATAGACATGTATACTCAATGGAAACAAAATGCTAAGCAGAATGAACGAGAAAAAAATGTTAGGTCCCTCATCCACAAGATTCTAGAGGGATACTACAAAAAAGGGTATAAATTTCATTTCATTGCTAACTAGGAATGAGGGATTATGTTGTCGTGTGACGGTAAAAGGAGGAAACTTTGTAGCGCATTAAAATTAATGTTCTAATGCATCATTTCGGCCGAGCCCATGATCATTTGGGAGCACTTCCTTTAAAAGCAATATAAATCCAAATGGTTATACTGACTTTGAACATATGATACAAGAATTCATAAAGATAATAGTTAATTTGGAATCTGACATTCTACATTACCCAAACTTATTAGAGCCTGGACTCCAAAATCAGCCACTGTAACAGGAGTCTGATCATTTTTCTCAAGAACCCTCCCATCACTTGAGAATAACGATGCTTTAACCTGCAGAATGCAGATAATTCACATTAATCTCTTACCATTTTCAAAGCTTTTAAAACATTAAAGTGAAGAAGAGTGGAGAACAAATCACATTTTAAGAAACCCCCTCCATTGGAATAACTATAACTTTGAAAGCGAAACTTCGACATAATACGATGAAAGGGGGGAAGAAGAAAAGAAAGGGATTACATCAACGCACAGACGGCATGCCTTCTCCACGGCATCAACAGCAGCTTCAAGCTCTTTGTGATACTTTGCTTTCTGCACCGGAAATGGCAGGCTCGACCTAATACGAAGAGCGAAATTTCAGGCTCTGAGAAAAAAAAAAAAAAGATATCAAGCAGAATCGAAGAATCGATGGAAGAGACCTTACGTTGAGGCGCCGGAGGAAACGCCGGGCGGCGAAACGATAACGATGAGAAAATCGGACGTCGGACATGCGAGAAGCTGAAGGGAGAATGTCCATGGCACGAATCTGTCGTTGACAAGAAGCAGTGGCCACCGGACAATTTCGGTTAGTTTGGAGCTCAGAGCCAGAAGCAGGATTGTTGGTTGGAGGTGGTGCAGCTTGGGGAGCGATAAAGCTTTGAATCCTAGCTCCCTACACCTCGAAGCATGTTACATAAATTTTTATATTTTTTAAATTTTAAATCCGTACATTTTTATTTTTTTTGGATACTATGAAAATAAAATTGTAAAGATTTAAAATATAAAAAAAATATAAAAACTTATAATAAAATTTAAATAAAGTACATGAACTCAACAATTATATTTTTTTGTGGACAAAAATATTATCATTTTTTTGTGAGTATCTAATATCTTTAAATTAATAATAACTAATGTTCCGCCCCGCGCAATGCATGGGCAAAATATCATCTAATCAAATTAATTTACACATGTTGTCAAAATTATCTTTATAATAAGTTATATTGTGGAGCATTGATATTATTACATATTATATATTCTTTCTGTTTAAAAATGTAAGATATATTTTGAGGAGTTTGATGTTAAAAAATGTAAAGTATTTTTAGTTTTTTGAGGTATAATTATTATTTTTTTTAAAGTGCCCCTATTGATGAATTAATGTATATTTATTATAGGGTGTTTAATAGAGGTAAATATAAAAAGATATGGTTAGTTTGAAAGTAGATAACTATTTTATTGAAGGGTGAAATTCAATTTCAATTTTACTGGTTAGTGTTGAATGAATAAAAGTTAAACTCAAATATTGGTATCGAAAACCATTGAAATGAAATTTTGGGAGAAAGAACTTGCAATGTTAGTTTGCAGATTAATGCATATAAATGTTTGGTAAAATGTTTATTGGGGAAAATTTTGATTATGGTGGCAAATTACATGTGATGTTTGTATTGTGGTTAATTAAATAGTTATGGAAGGCCCTTATTTGCTACAAAGGAAGTAGAGTTGAATTTAGAATTTTTTTTTTAAAGATGGATGTTGGTCTTTAATGGCAAATAAGTGTAATAAATTGATTGTTGTTGATTAAATTATTATAACAGACGATTATTTTTTTTAATGGTTGAACATAGAATTTAGAGGATTTTTGGAATTGATGATTGGTTAATGAATCAAGGACCAAGTTGGTTTGTTCTCATGTTAGCTTTTGAGACGTTATAAAGTACTGGATGATGAAAGTTATGGAATTGCACTTACATGAAGTGGTAATGTTGAGACTTGGAATTTATGAAAATTACACACACACACATAATTAAAATTTAGTATAAGAGTTGGAAGAACAAATTAAAATTTAATCAAAGTGTCGAATAGAAAGGTAGACATGCAAAGTATCAAAATGATTGAAGAAACTTAGATTTGGTTGATTAAATTATAATAAATTGAACCCCGATTGATTATAGTGTTGTCAATATTGAAAGATAGTTGATTTGGCTAGAGTAAGGTCATTAAATTGTTCTTTATATTGAAGAAGGTCCTTAGAGGAAGGGAGACTTGAATGAGGCCCTAAGAAATGAATTCTAATGCTTAAACACACTGAAGGTTAGTGAATAGCCTCTCAATAAGATTCTTTTTCTAAGATTTTTTTTAGATCATTCAATAACAATTATGTTATGTATTTAATATTTTGTTAATTAAATTATTTTATCCTAGAAAATTATAAACATGTTGAAGGATATTTGAATTATGGCATGTGTATGTGTTTTTCCTTACGAAGAATACTTTCAAAATTGATGAGATTATTTTTATTAACTCTAGTTATTTTTGGATTACTCAATAAATGCCAAACATGAACATTAATTTTGAAATTTTATTTTGGCAAGTTTTTAATGATCAAGACTGTTCATGTGAGTTTAACTTTGAGAATGGAAACTGTATTTTTATACTGACAAATTTATCGCATGTTTGAAAATAAATTTGAAGGGGATTTTACCTAGGACACTGGTTGCTAACGGAAGTCCCATTAGCCGTTGGCGCGTCATGGTCATTGACTAGCTAGATTGATTTTCGTGAGCTCTATTCTCACATTTGTTATTCGTGGGTCTCGTACTCACATTTTTTTTTTGCTTCAAGCCGCGTTTGGTTAGTATTACTTTCATAGATTATATGTCTATGTTTGTTTCGTAGCTCAGGCTGCGTTTGGTTACTTACTTTCTTGGATTGTGTATCCATATTTGTTTTCATGGCATAAGTCGCATTTGATTATTTACCCTCGTGAATTGTGTGTCCATGTTTGTGAATTGTTCTGATAAATACTCCAAAAATATATGAATTTTTAATGAATTGGTATTTTTTTTTTCACATACTGGCTTTCAATTTAGTAAATATTTATATGCATATTTATTTATTTATTTAATCATTTTAACTTGTTAGGATCAAATGTTAAAGCTACTTTGTCATTATAGATTTAAATGTTCTTGTTATTAAAGTTATATAGAACTTTTATTTCAAGTTTACAACTTTATTTACATTGAATTGCTTTCTCATTTAATTTATGTAACTATTGTATTTTATTCATTTTAATTCTATAAAAATGCTATGGTTGTGATGTTATTCACTGGAAAGTATTTTGTTTGGTTTTAGATAGCATAGCTAATATGGTACCTCCTGATGACCTTTACTAGGTTCGTTGCTGAATTGACAAGAAGATCAGTGATGGGAATATTTTCTTTTTATGTAAATTCTAAAATTTATATAGTATGTTTGGGAAATATGATTTAAATTACTCCACATTGATTATAGTTAGGGTCTTAATTCTTTTTTGTTTAGTTGTTTATCTATTTTTGAGGAGCAGAGCTTCGTATTGCTAGATGTATATTGTAAAATTTCTCTTGTAGAGAGTTTGGGAGACCTTACTTTTAAGGGGAATGTTGTCAAAATTTTTACAAAAAGTTTGAAATTTTAGTTTATATGAAAAGTAAAATTATATATATATATATATATATATATCATGTTAATAATATGTCAGATATATTAATTTAGAGATTTTTTTAATTGAGGCTTTAGGGATGTATGTTTCTACATATATCTCGTGCTAGTCACATTAAATTTTAGGGCGTGACAATGAATGTTCTGACAATTCTATAAAAGCTAGCAGATAAGAGTAAATAAAGCACTCCAATCATCATTCTCCTTATTTCCTGAGTGTCTAAGGTTCCATTGTTTTTCCAAGCATGCAGATCCATGGAGAAGAAAAGATGGTGTTTATTTAGCTTCACAATTAACAGCCAAATTTCACTAGAGTTCGAGCAATCTCTCAACACATGGATCAAGTTCTAGTTTTGCATGTGGCACCATGAACAAGAGCTATCAACAGTCATTTTTTTTCCATTTCCTTATCTCCTCATTCAATTTATTGTGAGCACACAACTAAAGGAAATTCTTACATCTTTGGGGTACTTTAAGCTTCCATATCTTCTCTCAAGAAAAACTAGCCTCATGTTTTGGTTTGCAAAGAGAAGCATAGGCAGATTTAACAAAAAACATGCCATGTTTTTCCTATTTCCATCTAACATCATTGGGGTTTGCTCCTCATTCTATACTTTCCATCACATCACTCCAAATCTCCTTGATTCCTCTCCAAACATTCAATCCTGGCCTTTTTAATTGAATTTATAGGATGAGATCATCACCACACTTATATATTTAGCATGAATCACCCAAACTTAGAGATCATTTGGTTTCTTCATAAGACCCTAGCCCAACTTCATCATATAAGCCTAGTTTTGTGTTATGGTTTTTTTGATACCTAGCCCATCATGTTTCTTTGATTCACACAGTTGGTCCTAGGACAAGAGATGTACTTTCCACTTCGTTATAGGGCTACCCTAAATGAATTCCCTATTACATTGGTTAATAGTATCACAAATGCTAGTCAGAAGAAGAGAAGTTTGCATACTATAACTTGGTATTGCTGACGTAATAAATTTAACAAGAGTAGTTCTTCCAGCCATAGATAAAGCAAAAGCCTTCCAATTAGATAAATGTTTCTTCATCTTGTTGACTATCAGTTTGAGAGAAGCCCAGAGCAGAACTTAACTCCTCTCATCTGCATATATGAGTATTATCTAAGAAATAGATCCTAGTTTTGCCAACGTTAACCTTCATGCCAGAGCTTTCACAAAATTTGGTAAGACAGTTATTAATAACAAACACTTGATCAAAAGAAGCTTCTGCAAACAGTAAAATATCATTAGCAAAAATTAAGTAGGAGATAGGAGGTCCCATTTTACTCAGCCGTATAGGACGCCAATGGTCTTGATTCATCTCACACTAGATTAGATGCACAAGTCTTTCAATGCCAATGATAAAGAAATAAGGGGATATCGAATCCCCTTGTCGTATACCTCTAGATGGGCAAAAAGAGTCAGATTTGTTACCATTCCATAACAGTTGCATGGAAGATAAGGAAACATAGTTCATTATTAAATTAGTCATATGTTGCGGAAGCGAAGCTGAAGTTCTTTAAGGCATGACAAGAGAAATTTCCAATTTAATCGATCATATGCTTTTTTCAAGTCTATTTTGATTGCCATAAAACCTTTGTTTCCCCTTATACGTCTTATAGAATGGATTACCTCTTGTGCCATAATAATATTGTTTCAGCTATGACATCCAGGAATGAAGTTGCCTTAGTTTGGTGAGATCACATGGGGTAAAAAACCCTTTCATCTGACGAGTTATTAGCTTGGTGATCACTTTATATACCACATTACAAAGACTAATAGGCCACAAGTCTTAAATAGTTTCAAGTGGGTCCTTTTTCAGAATAAGGACTAATAAAGTGTGATTGATCTTTACAATAGCTGAGGGATTATTAAATATGAAATGAACAAGTTTACACACAGAGGGACCTAGCACATTCTACTAGCTCCGATAAAATAAAGCATCAAAGCCATTAGGCCCTAGCGCTTTCATAGCACCTACGGCTATGATAGCTTTATGAATTTCAGCATCATCAAGTTTGTTGCCAAATGAAACTAGCATCTACTCCTTAATTTGTGATAAGAAACACAACTATTCAACTGCTTCAGCTCTGTCAACTCATTCTTGAACAATTGAGAGAAATGTTGGACTATTATAGACTTGAGTTCTTGTTCGTCATACATCTATGTGTCGTTATCAT